CATGGCTCCCGAGCCCGATGGCGGCGCCGGCCTGCTGCAGGTGGCCCTGCAGGGCACCCCGCACCGGGCCGCAGGGACAGTGCAGGGCAGCACCCCGGTGCTGCGGGAGCTCAACGGAGCCACCTTCAAGCAGCCAGTCCCGCTGTCCGGCTCCATGCTCATCTACAGAGCCAAAGCATCAGAGCCCAGCGCGCTGCCTGCGCTCGCTGGTGAGCACCTCACGCGGCCCTGACCTGGGCGGCTCTATGCAGGGTGGTGGCAGGAGGAGACCTTGGCAAGGGCCCAGATGCCAGCGGGGGGACACGTTCCATGGAAAGGCAGGGATGGCATGGTTGGAGCATAGTATTAAGGGACTCCAGAGCAAAGGGACTTCCACCCACCTCCAGAGGGGGGTGAAAACTGGCATCATGGACCCGTGGGCCACCTGGATGCCCACAAACCTCTTGCCTCTCGCCCAGGGCTGCTGGGAAAAGTGGGAGTCCAGCTCCAGTCCTACCACAGCTCCAGCGCGGTGGCGGGGGAGCAGTGGAGCATCGCAGGGCTCTCGGCCCCACTGCCCGACCTCAACGAGCTCGAGCTACGCGTGACCGAGGTCTTGCAGCTGCAGCTGTAGCTGCTGCGTGCCCGCTCCCCTCTGTGCCGTCCAAGGGAGCATCGCACCCGGCTGCCCCCGGTCCCAATGGTGGGCCCAGGCTGGCCCCGCACTCAATAAAGTGCGCAGAGGAGATAGCGTGCGACCTCCTTCCCTTGTCCCTCTGCCCGCTCCCCTCTGTGCCGTCCAAGGGAGCATCGCACCCGGCTGCCCCCGGTCCCAATGGTGGGCCCAGGCTGGCCCCGCACTCAATAAAGTGCGCAGAGGAGATAGCGTGCGACCTCCTTCCCTTGTCCCTGGCCCCCGGCCCTCCTCCTGTGCCCTGGCCCGGTGGGGACATACAGGGCTGCTGGCGCCGCGTGACCGTTTGCTCAAGGGGTGCAAAGGTCTCCGCGGCTGCCACCGCCCAGCCGA